AATTGATAAGAATTCTTGAAAATAGCATAAATATCTAGTCACTAATAAATGCTGTTGGATTTTAAATCTAGACCAAAAATTTAGTGAAGATTGCATTAAAACTGGAATATTTAACCTTAAATTCAGCTTATTTAAATGTTAAGATGAGCAATAACCTGAAAATAGATTAAAATTCTTAAAACGTTAGTACTTTACTTAGATTTAAGTGTATCTTGCTTGTTTTAAGAAGGGAATTTTTTGCAGTGTAACAAAAAAAAAAAAATCATATTTGAACTTAATTAAGATTCTTGAAATTATCATTTTTAGGGGTGGTATTATTATTAAAATTAGCATAACAATCTAATCGAACATACACAACTGGTTTCTGGTCAAATCTACCTCAAAATGAGCTGAAATTCACTTGCCATGACTAAAGAACACCAATTTGGTTAAATTAAGATTTATATTCTAGTGTGCAATGTATTTTATAATTTTTTTTTAAAAATCTTTCATAGCATAAAACAAGACATATTTTCTAGAGACGCTTGTTTATTTTATTTTATTTTTCTTAGATGTCAGTTTTTGCCGTTCCTGTTGTGTGGGTTTAGACTCTAACTTTAAACGACGCTCCTATAACTAAACCGGTTCCCAGTTCCCCCGGCCTGAACACGCCAGCAAGCCAGTATTTATCAGTAAAAATGCAAGTTTTCAGAGTTTTAGGCAAGGCAAGGCAAGGCAAGTTTATTTATATAGCACATTTCATACACAATGGCAATTCAAAGTAGGGGTCGACCGATATGTGATTTTCAGGGCCGATACCGATTATTACAGGTCAAAAAGACCGATAACCGATATATATATTATAGCTACACTACCGTTCAAAAGTTTGGGGTCAGTGAGAATTTTATTTTTATTTTTTAGAGGAAAGAAATCAATACTTTTATTTATCAAGGACAGTAAAGACATTTATAATGTTACAAAAGATTCTATTTCAAACAAATGCTGTTCTTTTGAACTTCCTATTCATCAAAGAATCCTAAAAAAAAACAAAAAAAACTGTACAACTGACAGACCAACAACTGTTTCAACATTGATAATAATAATAAATGTTTCTTGAGCATCAAATCCTCATATTATACTGATTTGTGAAGGATCATTTGACACTGAAGACACTGACACTGGTGATGCTGAAAATACAGCTTTGATCACAGGAATAAATTACACTTTACTATATATTCACACAGAAAACAGCTGATTTACACTGGAATAATATTTAATACTATAACTGATTTTTGTTGTATTTTTAATCAAATAAGCGCAGCCATGGTTAGCAGAAGAGAATTCTTTTAAAAGTATTTAAAATCGTACCGACCCCAAACTTTTGAACGGTAGTGTATGTCTGGTGTAAAACTGTAAATTAATGTAAAAATTAAGAATAACAAAGGGTTTTGACAAATACTTTCTTTAAATGATTTTAAACATATCTTTGAATCTGAGAACTGTTATTAATAATAATAATAACTTGTAAAAAGTGCAGGGAGCACCCAGCAGCATTCTGTAAACATTTTGTAGAACTTAGACTCTATTTTAATTTTTAAATAAAATTTTAGTAATCAAAAAGCATTTCTAATGAATTAAAATCAAACTTATTCAATTTATTTACAGTTTAACAAAAATTTAATTTTTAGGGCCTTGTGAAAAACCGAACTTTTATTTTGACGGGTTGCCGTGGAGATCTTTGAGTTTCTGTGTGTTTATGATATGTCGATAACTTTTCTCAGTTGAAGCATTAAAAAGCTCATGAAGTGACAAAGCGGCTCTGGAGATGATGTTTATGCAATCATGTCCTCATATAATGATGCGGCTGAGGCTGAAAACAGCGCAAGCGTCACGCGTGCTCCAGTGTGTGTGTGTGTGTGTGTGTGGTAACTGAAATCACGCGTCTCTGCGCCATTCATTTAACGTTAGAGACACGCAGGATTCATATTTAAATAGTCTTTTTGCGGTTTGATTTGTACTGACCTGCTTTTTATTAATTCATCTAAAAGTTGACAAATTCCGTGATATTCCGCTTTATCCACAGTATTCCTGCGCCCCATGACGCTTTGCGCGAATTGTGGGTGTAACTTCCGTTAAGATGTAAACAATCAGTGAACGACTAAGCTCTATGGACGCAATAATAGATTTTTAAACCTTTTACGATGACATTACATTATTCTACTCACCCTTCAATCATTGAACATTAAAAGGACATTTAAAAGTGTAAAAGCATCAACAAGGTAGCTTTCAACAGACCATGAATAATCTCAAAAGCATCTTTCCACAGCTAAATCGGTCGGTTAAATATATCACTGTGGTAACGTTAATTGTATTATGTAACATACGTTGCCTTAATAAAAAAGTGTTTTACTTCAGCATTACGTGATACTATTTTAAAGTGATTTCAGTCATTTTGACAGATAATAAATTGTATTTACCTGGAAAGAGACGTGAGGATTTGGAGAGGATTCCAGTGAATTATTAATGGTATACAGCGTAAATTAAATCGGGAGAACAGACCACAAATGTGCAGTATGTGTTGACTTTTGTCATACTATTACAGCGGAATTCAAAAGGAAAAAAGAAAATAATCATGAGGAAAAGAATGCAGAGCTCTTACTATGGATATTCTTGTTATAACATGTCACGTTAAAATACCGAGTGTTACGTTATTCTTAGATAAAACATGAAAGAAAACTGATTGCTCATTAAGTCAAACTGACGGATCAGGTTTATTTGTAGGGCAACCTTATGATTTGAAATGATTCGTTTCAGTCTTTTTGAATGGAAGTTCCCCAAACCGGAAGTGCCGCCCATAATTCAAAACGCAGTAAGCTTGTCAGGAATAAGGTGTATAGAGGGGTTTCACCAACGTCACGTTCTGGGCGGTAACCCGGATGCGCGGCCATTATGGAGGCACTCGGATGTAAACAGCATGGATTGCACTGTTCATGTACTACTGAACACATTGTTACACTAATAAACCACGGAAAAAACACGTGGTAGGTGCGAAATCATATAGAGAAGGACTTGGGAAGCAGGAGAGAGCGCAACATTTTGACAAACTAAAGTTAATATGTTTTATGTGGTCACATTATGTGGTAGCTGCTAAAGATCCGAACGAGTTAGCTTCTCTAGCACGTAACACTACTGCAATTCTTCCATCTATTTATTATCCCGAAATAAGATACGTTCAGATTGTCAGTCCAAAAAAGCACATGAAATTCGTTTCAAGTTACATCCATATGTGGTTTGAAATCCTATTCAAATCACATATCAGGACATCAGCCTCAGTCTGAACGCTCGGATTTCGCGTGGTATGTCTTAAAATGCAAACGTCATTTATAGGAAACATGCTGATGAAAGTCACTGCCGAAACAATGCTGTGTTGTTGCAAAGTGCCGGACGAGCAGAAAAGTATTATTTCTGAAACCGGCGCAGACGAGCGTGGGAAAAAAGCAGTAGCTAACGTTATATACCAGCCTCCTACAGTTCTGCCGCAGTAGTCCAGCGCGGTGGCTATACACATTTCCATGTTGTAACATTTAAAAAAGACAACATCTAACATTATATTGCAAATGCAACCCCTCCATCAACGCAAAGTCATTGCCATTATTACCAAATAACATGCATGGACACACACGTCGGATCTGAACAGTTGCGATACACAGTGTGGACATCATTTTAGATCAGATTCCAATTTGATACAAAGATAATCAGATTTGGACTGACAGTGTGAATGTAGCTAGCCATAGTTAACTACGTCGACATTTTAGCCATAGTCAACGCTTCATTTACACCTGTCTGATGATGTACTACCTCTCTCAACCACAAACGCCTTCTTTCATCAGTTTTTTGCACTCTTCTCTTTAACTTTTGACAGTCTATAGCACTCGACATGTTTTTTCCCGATGTGACCGATTGGTACAGACAAAAACTCGACCATTTTTCAGCAGCAATAATCAGCCAAATTTGCGAGTCCATTCAGTTCAGTGGCATTATTCACGTTCTGTGCCTCCAAAATGGCCGACTTCCGGATTGATGACGCGTCGTGAAACCCCTCTATACAGTAAACTCCGTTTTTATGACTGGATTCCGCGACTCCGTCTGTTCTGCATCGCGGAAATCACAGGGCTCTATTATATTGAGGTATTTTGCAACTTCAGTGTAGTAAGCTATTGCTTCTTCAGCAAAGTCTGCGGCTGCCTTAACTTTGAGAGACTGAAGCGTGATCAGTGAAGCAGCTCTAGTCAGCGAGTGCTCTCTCGGTGTGAGTGCAACACTTTCAGTGCCTCAGCTCTCCGCGCTGATTGGCCGGACTCGTGACTCCCCACAAATCAGATGTGCAGGGACATTAGTCTAGTCTACAGAGTGGTGAGTTCCGACAAAGGTGGCTGCGTCAAAGCCAAATATAGCGCATTTCAAAATAAAATTATTTTATCGGCAAATCGGTTTTGAAAATGGCCGATACCGATAACCATAAAAATGCTTAATATTGGCGCCGATAATCGGTCGACCCCTAATTCAAAGTGCTTTACATAGAAGAAATTAAAATAATTAAAACCGTGTCAGTACTACATTAAACTACTATATAATGTATAATAATGCAATGGGGGAGTATTTGTGGGTTATTGTGATAATGTCTGATGTTACCAGTAAAAGTGGCCGACATTATTTTAAATATATCTAGTCTGTGAAAGAGTGCAAACATATTCATCTGAAATAATTCTGTATTTTCAGCTTGAGAATCATCAATATTCATTATTACTAGTATATACATTATTGTGGCACATCCTCCAAAAACGGCTTCATCCGTGCGTAATGAACTCGTTCGGTGTGTTAACAAGCTGATCTGTGATCATTTAGGCCTTTAGTGTTTTCATATGTCATAAATGTGTTTAGGTCTGTAACATAATCATGTTGAATAATCTGTCAGAGTTTTTATGATACATTGAATACTGTGTTTTGTTGTTGTCCTGCAGGGAGATTCAGCTTCTGCGACGACTACAACACAAGAACGTCATCCAGCTGGTGGACGTGCTGTACAACGAGGAGAAGCAGAAAATATATCCTTTACGCCGAGAGTGTGTGTGTGTGTGTGTGTGTGAGAGAGAGATGCTGTAACCCACAATGCTGTGCTTTCAATTTCAGTCTTTTTCTTGCTCGTGAAAGTGCAAGTCTGTCATATCGGCTGATATCTGTCATGCATAAGATTATACTGAGAACATCATCATAATTGTGTGTTTGGGTCGTGGATTTTAATGCTGAGACTTTTGTTTTTGTAATCAGGCTCTCAAAAACTATATAAAAATTTGGATTTAGGTTTATCAGCCAATATATCGGTTATCGGCTTTCAGATATTAAGAGTTTCGGCCAAAAATGTTCATATCGGTGCATCTCTAGTCAAGAATGGAAATGTAATGGAAAGTAAAGCGTGTTGCATTGTGGGATATGGTTTAGCACTCTGCTTCAGGGTTCGTACAAGCTGCTTAAAGTACTCGAATTTGACTGGAAAAACCTTGAAAATATTCATATTTTCAAAAAGGTACTTGGAAAAGTGCTTGAGTTATTTAACTACTAAATATATTAAAGTGCTTTTTTAATTTATTTTTAATTTTTTCTACACAAACACAATCTTTTCAGGCAAAATTACATTTACATTTGACATTATTCATTCAGCAGACGCTTTTATCCAAATGAGAACAATAGAAGCAGAGAAACTAACAATAGGAGAAAATGTGCAAGTGTTATTAGTCTAACACAGTACGTGTATTTCATTTTTTTTTTTTTTTAGATTATAGATATTACGGAAGCCCTGAACCGCAACGAAAAAAAAAAAAATCTAGCATTTTGAGAATAAAGTGGAAATATTTCGAGAATAAAGTCGATCACACACACACAATCTTCTACAGAAGACTTCTCGTAATTTTGACTTTAATCTCGAAATGCTAGAATTTAATTTTTTTTTTTTTGTGTTTCAGGGCTTCTGTAAGATATAGAATAGAAGATAGTGTTAGTATTAATCCGTGTGATAATCCCCCATCAGACCCTTCCTCAATACCAAGTACGCCAACATTATAATATAAAATATTATTTATTGAACAGTAATAGCCATAACTTTGTATTTAATATATATTATTAAATGAGTTGTATTTGCAATACCTTATATTTGTAATCTGAGAAAAAACAATCCTAAAGATGTTGTTTGATAAGTGTGATTCTCTAATTGTAGTGCTTGAAAAGTCGTGGAGTTTCTTATTACAGTTTCTGTACGAACTCTGCGACTGCAATAGTGTTTGCTCAGAGTCTGGCGCTGGTATCCACTGAGGAAAGCTATTCTGTAGAACTGAATGTGAACTGAGTTGAGTTGTTGTGTGGTTTTGGTTGTTTGTTCCTTGACGTGTTCGGCTCACGTATATGGTGATGGAGTATTGTGTGTGTGGGATGCAGGAGATGCTGGATAGCGTTCCAGAGAAAAGATTTCCAGTGTTTCAAGCTCACGGGTGAGACGCCAGCCGGCAGATACACACACACTCCTCTGAGAACACACACACACTCCTCTGAGAACACACACTCAAACACATCATCTGTCACTTTAATGAACCTTTGATGATCTATCACGTTCTATATTAATGAGCTATTTTGATATTTGTGTTCATTTCCCACAGACGTCAGATATAGACACACACGTCATATTCCGTTCGTGACCGCAGATCCACTTTATACAGACGCCGTTGTCATTTTGAATCGTTGAAATGTTCGTTTTTAGCCTAAAAATACTCAGCAATGCTGTCGACTTATGAATCTACACATGGTTTGTCTTAAAGGGATACTCCACTTTTTTTGGAAATAGGCTCATTTTACAACTCCCCCAGAGTTAAACTGTTGAGTTTTACCGTTTTTGAATCCATTCAGCCGATCTCCGGTTCTGGCGGTACCACTTTTAGCATAGCTTAGCATACATCATTGAAGTGGACAAGACCATTAGCATTTCTCAAAAAAAAAATTACCAAAGAGTTTCGATATTTTTCCTATTTAAAACTTGACTCTTCTGTAGTTACATCGTGCACTAAGACCGACGGAAAATGTAGAGTTGCGATTTTCTAGGCGGATATGGCTAGGAACTATACTCACCTAAAGGATTATTAGGAACACCTGTTCAATTTCTCATTAATGCAATTATCTAATCAACCAATCACATGGCAGTTGCTTCAATGCATTTAGGGGTGTGGTCCTGGTCAAGACAATCTCCTGAACTCCAAACTGAATGCCAGAATGGGAAAGAAAGGTGATTTAAGCAATTTTGAGCGTGGCATGGTTGTTGGTGCCAGACGGGCCGGTCTGAGTATTTCACAATCTGCTCAGTTACTGGGATTTTCACGCACAACCATTTCTAGGGTTTACAAAGAATGGTGTGAAAAGGGAAAAACATCCAGTGAGCGGCAGTCCTGTGGGCGAAAATGCCTTGTTGATGCCAGAGGTCAGAGGAGAATGGGCCGACTGATTCAAGCTGATAGAAGAGCAACTTTGACTGAAATAACCACTCGTTACAACCGAGGTATGCAGCAAAGCATTTGTGAAGCCACAACACGCACAACCTTGAGGCGGATGGGCTACAACAGCAGAAGACCCCACCGGGTACCACTCATCTCCACTACAAATAGGAAAAAGAGGCTACAATTTGCAAGAGCTCACCAAAACTGGACAGTTGAAGACTGGAGAAATGTTGCCTGGTCTGATGAGTCTCGATTTCTGTTGAGATGTTAGAGTCAGAATTTGGCGTAAACAGAATGAGAACATGGATCCATCATGCCTTGTTACCACTGTGCAGGCTGGTGGTGGTGGTGTAATGGTGTGGTGGATGTTTTCCTGGCACACTTTAGGCCCCTTAGTGCCAATTGGGCATTGTTTAAATGCCACGGCCTACCTGAGCATTGTTTCTGACCATGTCCATCCCTTTATGGCCACCATGTCCCCATCCTCTGATGGCTACTTCCAGCAGGATAATGCACCATGTCACAAAGCTCGAATGATTTCAAATTGGTTTGTTGAACATGACAATGAGTTCACTGTACTAAAATGGCCCCCACAGTCACCAGATCTCAACCCAATAGAGCATCTTTGGGATGTGGTGGAACGGGAGCTTCGTGCCCTGGATGTGCATCCCACAAATCTCCATCAACTGCAAGATGCTATCCTATCAATATGGCCCAACATTTCTAAAGAATCAATGCCACGTAGAATTAAGGCAGTTCTGAAGGCAAAAGGGGGTCAAACACAGTATTAGTGTGGTGTTCCTAATAATCCTTTAGGTGAGTGTATACACTCATTCCTGCGTAATAATCAAGAATCTTCACTGCCGTACCATGAGTGCAGCAGGCGTAATGATATGACGCAGCGCCTGAAAATAGTCCCCAGCTCGGTAACTTCCAACGTGACCTATTTTCAGGCGCTACGTCATATCATTACGCCTGCTGCACAGAACCGGAGATCGGCTGAATGGATTCAAAAACGGTAAAACTCAACAGTTTAACTCTGGGGGAGTCGTAAAATGAGCCTATTTCCAAAAAAAGTGGAGTATCCCTTTAAAGCGTATTAAAAACACCTCATAGACAACATTGAAACCCTGATATTCACCACAGCGGGACTTTTGACCGGTGCAAAGTTCTAGGTTGTAAATGCCCTAATGAACTGTGTGTCTCCTTCAGGTACTTCTGCCAGCTGCTGGACGGCCTCGAGTACTTGCACAGCCAGGGGATCGTCCACAAAGACATTAAACCCGGGAATCTGCTGCTCACTACAGACGGGGCGCTGAAGATCTCCGACCTGGGGGTGGCGGAGGTGAGCCTCTCTCGGACACACGGCCCGCTCAAATACGATCAGAGTTAGTGGATGTCAACTAGAAAATCACATGAAATGCAATTTTTAGGCAAAGTTTATTTATAAAGCACATTACATACACTATGGCAATTCAAAGTAGGGCTGCACAATATATCGAAAATGTATATATCGTGATATGCATATCGCAACGGCTGGGTCGTGAACTGGTGTACGTATCACTCGCTGCTCTCGGCTGAATAACTTTTCTAGCTTTAATAATAATAATCCATACATTGAAAACTAAGCAGTGTTTTATTTTTACAAATGATTATTCAGTTTCTGATGTTAATAACGCTTCAGTAAAACACTGATGTTCACTTCCAGAAGCTGGAGGGGTGTTTTCTCCTCACAAAAAGAATGTGAAACACGTATGTAGGTTATATCATTTTAAAGATAAGTTTATTTTACACACTTTAAAGGGATAGTTCCCCCCAAAAATGTAAACTCTGTCAGTAATTACTCTCCCTCATGTTGTTCAACCCCGTAAGACTTTCGTTCATCTTCGGAACACAAATTAAGATATTTTAGATTAAATCTGAGAGCTGGATCACTCCTCCATAGGCTTCTACGGGATTGAAACTTGCCGGTCCAGAAAAGTTAGTAAAGACATCGTTAAAATAGTCCGAGTGACTACAGCGGCTCAACCTTAAGATTATCAAGCGACGAGAATACTTTGTGTGCGCAAAACACAAACAAAAACAACGACTTTATTCAACTATTCATTTCCTTCTCTGTTCGGCCGTGATATTTCACGTAGTGATATTGCGCAAAGCTTTTAGGTTGTAAGTCACACGCATCACACACACATGACCAGCGTCGGCCAATAGTGAGCCTGCGTGTGACGTGCAACCTAGAAGCTTTGCGTAATATCACTACGTGAAATATCACGGCCGTACAGAGAAGGAAATGATTAGTTGAATAAAGTCGTTGTCAAAGCAAACCTTCTTATCAACCTGCTGGACACATATTACAAGCTCAAAATGATTATTCTCACATTGTTTTAGAGCAGGGGTCTCCAACACGTCGCTCGCGAGCTAGGCTACCAGTAGCTCGTGGCATGTTCACATATCGCGCTCACATATTTTGCTTGCTCAAGTTCGTTATTTCAAATGTAGGCACGTGCCAAGCGCGCTCATAAGCGACGCGCTCATTTTTTCCAGGCGCAGTATGTTTGTACTTCGCGGTTGTCTATGACAACTATTGACAACAAACCCACCGTAAGCTGTCATGAGACTTTCTATGGTAGCCCATAAGGGATAAAAAACATATATATATTTTTTTTTTAAACGCGGCACACGCAACGACGGGCCGCACTAACATTAAACTTTAATGTCAAGTAGGGGGCCACAAAATATCGGGCCGCGAGTTTGAGACCACTGCTTTAAGCATTATCAAATCACATATCGAATATCGCGTTATTTAATGAGTTATCGCATTTTTCTTCAATATCGTGCAGCTCTAGTTCAAAGTGGTTTGCATAGAAAATAAGCACAAAATAAAAGCAAGGGAAAAGGAATTAAAAGAGAAATGATTTTACGGATTTTACAAATCCGTTTCAAGCTACATCCTTATGATGTTTGACATCCATTCTGGAAATCCGTCATTGCCATAGAAACCAATGGAGATAATTAGGGAAACGAAAGAGTTGCATGGACACACACACACACACACACACACATCGCATCTGAACACAAGTCGCCATCCTTTTACATCAGATTCAGATACACAAATAATCAGATTTGGACTGAGCTTTCCTGGAGCACGGACACTAGAGCGCTGGCGCTTGCAACGCCAAGGTCATGGGTTCGATTCCCAGGGAAAGCGAGAACTGATAAGAGTGTAAATGTGTAGCTTGAGTCGCTTTGGATAAAAGCGTCTGTCAAATGCATAAATGTAAATGACAGTGTGAACGTAGCCTTATAGTCGCGTGGAACGGAAGTTGCGCTCGTCTTTTCTTCCCTATTGTGACGCATGTCTGAGTAAAATGTCTTCTGTTGACCTCTGACCTCCAGGCGCTGCACCCGTTCGCGGAGGACGACACGTGCCGCACGAGTCAGGGGTCGCCAGCCTTTCAGCCGCCAGAGATCGCCAACGGCCTGGACACGTTTTCAGGGTTTAAGGTGGACATCTGGTCCGCCGGGGTCACACTGTGAGTTCATCACACACACACACACACACACACAAATATTCTTGTATAGTGAGACCTACTCTATTACAAGATACTAAAAAAGTGGGCGGAGCTAAAGAGCTCTTTTGGCAATTTCCTCGCCGCGACACTCTGATTGGTGGAATTTTCTGTGCAGCATTATGGGTAATGTAGTTTTCCCACCAAAAACTCAGTTAAATGATTATTTAAAAAAATAAGTTGAAATAATGTGAACGCATGGTTTCAGCAAAAGCACATTCCACCGATTAACAAGTAACCTCACAGTAGGGCTGACTTTAATGGTACTTTATACGTATGTATCATATATAAGTTTCCCTATGGAGTAAATCAATGGAGTGTTTATTATTGCTCTATAAGCGGATCCATGTGTGACTGAAGCGCTCTGATTCCTACTTCTCTTTTGCATTTGAATGTGTTCTGCTGTCATCAAAGCTAGTAACCCACTAAACCTTTCTGTTCCCGCTGGCAGATATAACCTAACGACGAGCCTGTACCCGTTCGAAGGGGACAACATCTATAAGCTATTTGAGAACATCGGGAAGGGCGACTACAGTGTTCCTGAGGACTGTGGCCCGCTGCTCTCAGACCTGTTGAGAGGTGAGACGTCAAACTTTTGCTTATAAAGCACTTTCTAAACCATTAGAATGGACCAAAGTGCCGTCCAGAAATAGCAAATAACTCTAAAATACATAGAAACATTAAATAACATTAAAACATGACACCAAGAAAATCATACAGCCAATCACTCACAGTTCTCAGACCGAATTAAACGCAGAAATCTTGATCAAATAAATGTCTTCAGAGAGATTTTTTTTAATTATTTAACAATTATTGGGATTGTAAAACCACATTTAAAGGGATAGTTCACCCTGTTAATTTACCTTCAGGCCATCCAAGATGTTTAGAGTCCTCATTTAGTATGTGCGGTTCTATGAATATGCAAATGAGCCCCGCCTCCACTCACTCACTCAGCTCAGAGATCCACTGGTTGACGATCACACGTTGATCTGATTGGTTACAAGGTCGTTTGTGACGTCAGAAACACCAGCGATTTCAAACCGTGTTTTTGAGACTGTCTTTGGTTCACTGCAGTTTTAAGCAGGAAATACTCAGCAATGCTGTCGACTTATGAACTTACACATGGTGTGTCTTAAAGCGTATTAAAAACACCACATAGACACATAAACAAGCTTGAGTTTCAACACAGCGGGACTTAAAGTGTCAAAGAACACATCTAGGCAACACAGATGTAATACCCGTGGCTCCTGATAATACACTGGTCTTTGCAAGAAACATCATATCCTGTATTCCGCAGCTGTGCTGTAATTCATAGGTTTGACCTTTAGATGGCGACATTGTGACACTAATGATCAGCACTGATGTTGTGTTTGAGCAAACGCTGATGAAACGTCAACACACACTCTCACACACTCACACACACACACACACTCTCTCTCACACACACACACACTCTCACACACACTCTCTCTCACACACACACACACACACACACACTCTCTCTCTCTCTCTCTCTCTCTCTCTCTCTCACACACACACACACACACACACACACTCTCTCTCTCTCTCTCTCTCACTCACACACACACACACACATGCACGCACACACTTACACATTCTCACACACAAACATACTGGCAGTTAATAGTAATTGCGTGTGAATCTCTGCTGATGTTTCTTCATCTGAGGTGTTTGTATCTGCAGGAATGCTGGAATATGATCCTGTAAAGAGGTTTTCAATACAGCGCATCAGACAACACAAGTGAGTCCATCATCCTCATGCTCACACACTCACGTCAACAACATCATTCACATCATCTGCTGATGAGATTAATATGAAATCGTGCAGTTTTGGCTCTCCCTGTCTTAGAGGATCTGTTACGCCAGTCTTAGGGTGTATTCACACCTGCCTTGTTTGGTTCGATTCAATCGAACTCTAGTCCGTTTCCCCCCTTGGTGCGGACCTTTTGGGCAGGTGTGAATACAGCAATCGAACTCGGGTGCGGACCAAACAACCGAACCGAGACCCAGCTGAAGAGGTGGTCTCGGTACGCTTCCACACGAACTCTGGTTCGTTTACGGTGTGAACATGAACCGACCCAACTGCAAGAAAACACTGCGCCTTTGAGTTAACAGGCTTCCGTAGTCGGAGATTTGGGCATAATCAATGGTTTGTGTTATTGTTGTTTAAGTGCGAAAGAGAATTCCATTCAGGCCACACGATACTGTTGCGCGTCTTTCTGCGCGTCGTGTGTGTGCGTCATTGGAATGAATGAATGAGTGTGTGCATCAGGACATTCACATACAGCGCGTTCTCTTTAGTCTAATCGCGCATAGATGCAAAACAAGCTTTTGCAGTTCATATAATGTAACGATAGTTACAATACAAGGATGACGCTGCGTTAAACTGGACAAACTTAAATCGCAAGCGTTAACATTAGTGTTGTTAGCAGTAGCCTATATACAATAAGATTCTCATTATTTGAATGTGTGAACATAGCCCCTCTCTATGAATCAAAACTTTATACCTAATCCGTCTTCTGCGCAGTTTCTTCATATTGCGTTGTACAGAATAACACAAAATTTGTAAAATAACAAATATTGCAGTACGAAATATCTCCATGCTGAGCCTTTTTTGCACTTCCTGATTTCCCTACTTGAGAATCCTTGTCCAATGAATGGACGGCCTTAGCACACGTGTGGTTTTGTTGACAAATTTTGGTTCACTTGCAAAAAGAGCAGTGTGAAAGCGAACCGTACCAAAAAATATATATATATATTTATTTGGTCCGGACCAAAGCAAGTGAACTATCGGACTTTCCTGGTGTGAATACACCCTTAGTGTAGTTTCAGGCTCTGCTAGAACAGTTTTCCTGCTTGAATGTTGATTATTCTCCTCATATTCTCCATTGTTGCGGCTCCTCTCTTCCCAGTCTGTCAGTAACGCTCTAGCCGTTTCTCAATGTCAAGGAAGGATCCTCGGAAGCCGGAACATCCGTCGAAGGACTGTTCCAATGTCGAGGATCCTCAGAATTTCAACCAAGGACTGAGTCCTTCGTTCGGAAAATATCCCATACACAGGAAAGGATGCATATGTGTAGACTTCGCGCTCTCAAATCGCCCACAATCCTATGCGCGTAGCTTTGCTATCTTGTTAAAAAAATACACAATGTCGGACGTTAGCGGAGTCGGAGCAATAACGGGGCAATATGCTTTCAAATGTAAATATTTACGTTACCATACATTTGTTATAACCGTCATATAAGTAAAGTTTAACGTTTAAATGCCTGTACAAATTACTACCGTATTGATATTTCAAATTATACAAATATATACTAATTTAATACGTTATTGATGGGATGATGGCTAACTGAACCGGACCTGTCATTTTAACAATTGTTAGCTTGTTTGCCGTCACCGGCATTTCTTTTATAAATAACTACTTAAGTTGTACAAAGTAATGTAACGTTAATATTATACCATTCGGAGCGTTATTCTCGTCTTTTTTAGCAGGGACCAACGGACCTTTTCACTGACGTAATGACGCAATAACGTGCACTTGCTAGCCTGTTCCATTTATGTGTTCTCCGAATGCAAAGAGGAGCCTGAAGAAAATGACTTGGAAGGACGAGTCCTGCCAAGGAAGTATCCTTGACATTGAGAAACACCTTCTGTTTACTTCCTGTCTCTATGAAGCCCCTCCTCCTGAAAAGCACACTGTGCTCTGATTGGTCGGCTGGAGCAGTGCGTTGTAATTGGTCGAGTGCTTTGAGTGTGTTTGGGAAATGCCCCGCCCCTTTCCATAACCGCCAGTTTAACACACTACTGACTAAGTCAACCAGGCCCCGCCCCTTTATTTCTCTTCCTTTCTCTACTATAGACCGTATGCGCTAGAGAAACGAGCGCCGCATCTTTAG